AATAAAGCTTGAGGGGTGAGGCAGTCGTTCTTCTTCATATTCAAATTATTCCAGTTTTACTAAATGTGTTCGTCCCGGATCCTTGGTTACGCGTTCTACTTTCCCTAGCAACTGCATAGCGACCCGCAATCTGGCGTCGTATGATAATATTTTAATTTTGTCCTGCGTTTTAACTCATCTGTCACATACATTTTTGATTTCAGTTTAAACTGAAGCGACGAGGATAATTTGTGTGAAGAAAACTAACGTTAACATTATTTTTAAAGCAACGCTAATCTCTTTTAAATGTGCAAACATCGTAGTTAAGATAAAAGAAATTTTTGTCTAAATTATTCTCATTTATGCAAATTTGCGCATGTATATTAAACAAAAATTTTACAACATATTTCGCTTGGTTTATTTATTTTGAAATAGTTTGAGTAAACTTCTTAAATTATATAGTAGTTTATATAGTACTCGTAGTTTATATAGTATTTATTGTCTGAAATTAGAAACTATTAGGTACTGAAATACTTTCAGCGATGCTTCGATCACACAATTTGATACGATTTTAACACACGAGGATGCTGTTACAAGGCAGATAGACTACACAAATAGGCGACCATGTATGGAGGTTTCCTGGCATTAATGAAGAAACCTCCGGATAGGTAATACGTACTTCGAAAGATTAATGAACTAGATGAACCCGATCTTGGAAAATCATGCCCACGATGTTACATTACGTTCTCCGTTATATAGCTCTTATCTTATGCACGCAAGCAGCGCCTTATCGATTCAATCTTACACGCGACGACAAAGTAAAATAATTTTTCCTTGTCCGTCAAAATTCGAGAAATGTGTCAGTTTTCTCTGAATTTGTCATGCCTCTTCATACAGTCCCGTGAGGATAATCTTATATTATAAATGGACCACCCGTAGGCTGGCAAACTCAGCCGAGACTGCCAAGCCTTCGCACGAGAAATGGAAAGACGCGCGAGGCGCAACTGAATATTTCATCGATAGTAGATAGAAAAGCCACATCAAAGAGAAACGAAAAATTATTCCATCTTACCCCTTTCTCGTGCCATAAACGCTCTTTCCATGAGTACGGTTCTGACTTCAAACAATAACGGCATTATGCCCCTCAATATCGTACGTTGTATTACAATACAATTGCATGATTCTCACATTTCTATTTCGCGATTGAATTAACTTGTACCGTCTCTCTCATCTGTATTAAAGATCTCGCTGATATGTCCTATGTATCACAATTTTCATTTAATAAATAACGCGGTATACAGAGTATATTTAGAAATTTCTATATATCGTTAATGGATTATTGCCAAGCGCGTTTTCTAGACAGCATATTTATTCACCTATATTGATAATAAATTGTAAACATGCTTATTATCAAAAATCAATTGTTTACTATATGCAAATACAAGAAATGTACAGCGTCTTTGAAAAGTTTGTAGACTACATCGAATTTATTTATAATCAATCTAGAATGTTGAAATAATGACGCACAGCGCAATGTGCACTCGCAAAACTGGTATACTTCAGAATGCTAATTGAAATAAGCAAGTTATATTCTTTGGGAAGAAGTAAAGTTGTTAAAGTCTTTTCAGGAAGTTATTACAGAACTGTCACTGGGAACACTTGTCTACAATCAGAAATGTAACAGACTTTTCTTCGCAGATTTTACATACGTAAAGTTCTTCTACTTTTATATGATTGTATTAATAACAAGTAAATATGTCATAGAAAACAAAAAAAAATAGTATGTAAATGTATAGAAGTCTAAAAAGTTAATCAGCTCTGAATATTACATACACACGTTTTCTGCTTTTAATATGCATTAGTGGATTAATTTTTCACCGGATGTATGTATATATTAACATGTGCCTTTACCTAATACACAGGAACGCAAGTTTTTATCTTTATTTATTTATCGAGAATTACCGTCTGAAAAATGTCAATTGTCTTAAAATTTTGGATTTGTCTGCAAAAAGGTCAACACCTGTACCGCCGTTTTCATTTAAAATTAGTGAACAGCAATCATAGATTTTGATTATCCGAGAGACTCAACAATAATGCCGTTTGACGTTTGTTGTCAGATGGTTTTCCACGATCCTTCATCTTCGAGCGCATATTAACCCAATTTACATTCGGCCGTCGAGTACTGTAGTTACAGTGGAGTGCGCTTCAGAAACGTCCCATTAATCATCACAGACAATCGATATGCGCATGCAATGTATTCGGATCTGACTTCCTCATCGGAACTTATGAATGGGGCTCCCGGTCCCGCGTCCGTTTGCCGAAGACAACGGTCGTCGTTCGAGTAATGCGCCCTTTGTGACTAATAGTTCTGGCACGTGAAACGCATCGCGGACGGAATTTAACGCTCGTAACTTAGAAATACGGTGCCCTAACACAATAAACCAGACGCGCGATGTTACGTAACCACATTAGAGGGAAACGCTGCACCACGCTGCGAGCACACCGTGAGCGATTATGTGAAATGCCTGTTTACCCGCCATAAAACATGTAACGCATCATGGTAGTTTTCCGTTAAATATATCGCCAACTTATCTCCTGCGTCAAGACGTTCCTTTGACGACGATAGCACCATATACATATTCTCGGTCGAAGTGATCTCCGTACCCAAGCATGTAATCCTGAAAAAAAAAAGGACAAGGGTAGCGTAGCGCGGTAGCTCTCAAGTTCAAATAAAATCACCCTGCGAGCTCTTTTTTTTTCTAGAATATATGAAGGCGTACACCGTGAGGAAATTGCCATCCTGGTGGAATCTCTTTCCCCCGCGTTAACAATTACGCCGGCCCTTGAATATCGAAGTTCACTGCTAAAAGCGCATGCCGCGCATTATTTTAATGCAATTAATGCGATTCAGTACATTGCACATGTGAGCATAAACAAGAATAGCTTTGGAAATATTTAATATAGCATATGATTAATAAGCGAGATTGCGATAATAAATTAACAATTTCCACTATTTACTTCGCAATATTTGCGCCACTAGAAAATCATCGGACCATTAAATTCTCCCGTGCCAGCAGTCTATTAGCAGCGATGAACGATGCGCGTATAAACCGCGCTTATCGCCCGTTGACAAATACGCACAGTCGTTCATCAAGCAAACGGAAAACATGTATTTTTGCTTATAAGGACTCGTCGCTAGACAAATCGTCAGCATAAGCCGCACGTTATTTCCTCCCCCGTGACTCAGAAACCCCCTTTCATCCTTTCACTCGCAGCGCGATCACTTCGCATTTCGTATACACGTCAGGAAGTAGTTGTTGCTGTGGTTACCGGAGCATAGAAGATGGTACTTCTCGTACCAACGTAATGCAATCTCAAGAGAAACTCTAAGACCTCGCCTGTCACCAAAGATATACAGAACATTAGGCCATTTGCAAGATTGACTTACGAACAGTCTGTACCCGACACGTTATACGCCCGGAATTTCGTAATGTCGAAACACAGTAAAATCGTTTACCGTTAAAATTTATGATATGACGAAAATATATAAAAGAAAGCGTTCGATGTATTCATACATCGGTATAACGCAGACAAACCGGCGTTTATTTCGCTCGCATATCGCCGTGACCCAGAAAGATCTAACCGAAAATTTCTTTGTCCGCGCTTCCGGGTTAATCGCAGCGTAAATATACATAAATCACAGATAACATTTCCATTTCCGGACAACGTATTATCCTATATCGTTGCTCGCGCATAAACATTTGCAATATCTCGTCGAGCAATCTATCATATTTATCAGCTAATGACATACGCGATTACCATAAAGCTTGAAGGATATCAGATTAGAAAGAGAACGAGCCTTATTCGTCGAAAGTCCGTCGATTAAAAAATGTCGATCGATATCGGGCGAACAAGTTTATTGGAATTTGTCGCATGATGTGGCACAATATTATGGGAGAGCTATGCAACGTAATCCGAATAATTAGCTCGGAGTATCACATCGCACGACCGCGCAACCGCTATTATAATTATCGTGTTTTCGTAGCGACATTCGATGTGAAATAATACGGGATCGTTAGAGCAGCCCTTGCTCACCGCGTCTATTTCCGTATTTGCAAGGGAACCGACTATGCTGGGCTTAACAGACCTGAAACGCGGCATGTATTATCGATCCCGTGAGATTCGCTCGCAATTCTCCAATACGCCGATTTTAGTATTCAATATATTCCTGTTAAACATTCATAGATACTTTTTAATAAAAGTTTACATGATAGATAAACTCCCTGTATAATAATATAAAGCCAAAGGAAAAGCCTTAAAAATTCGTACTCGTTGCTACTTCCTACTTCAAGATAAACATAAAGTATTTTTTAACAAAAAGAGTATTTGCGGTAAATCCACTTTTCGTATATAAGGGCTCCGTATTGTATACTTTAAAACGGCGTGCTGTATACTTTATACCTATTGTTTGTGAAACTTAGTTCTCTGAATATCGTAAAGAGAGAAATAAACGGTTCCTGAGTGACTCGACGAAATTCCCTCAAGGCGAATTCATATTTGCGGAACTTTTGCAGACGTCGACGTGAACGCGTTTTTCGATCATCTCGGACAGGAGCTGATCACATCGGCTTGCGTGGGTCTCTTAGAGCGGGCCTTTCGTTGCCTTGGGAACGATCTGACCGCTTTCCTGACAACACTCGACGGCGTAAACGACGTTGTCCAGCATCAGTCGGGATCGGATACCGAGGCGGAGTTCGTGTGTATCGCCACACCGGAAGCATTGGAACTACATTTCACCACCGATCACCCTTCCATCGCCTATCTTCTGGTAGGCAGTCTGAAGGGCATTGCTAGGCAGTTCTATAACGACAAAGCCGATGTGTATATACTGCCGGATCCCTACAATACAAAATTTTTTAGGTAAATCTTTTTATGAAGCCTTATTCTATTTTATCACGCTTTTAGCAAGCTCTATCTTTTTTGTCGTATGCCTTTTTTACTTTTGTCGAGAGTATTGATACCGATCTCAGCCACGGATTTTAATTTCCGTTTCTTTTCAGTCCGATTAAAAAAAAAATGTCAGGCACAAAGAACGCTCTCGCGGAGCACAAAGGCAAAGAAAATTTTCTACACCATCTCTGCGTTTAGAAGAATACAAAAATTGTTATCAAACGTCACGCGTGAACGAATTTTCCACGGCAATGAATACAGAGGTCCGCGCTACCTCACTTTAAAGCGACACAGTTCTGATTCGACGACAGTCAACGACTATTCGTAAAACGATAAAGAGAAAGAGTAGAGAAGAGAGAGAGAGAGAGAGAGAGAGAGGGAGAACGAAAAATAAAATCAAAGCGATACAAGCACTGGAAATACGATTTACAAAAATACAGTGAAAATTGGCGACACATAAACTGCGCAACATTATTATGATCTTTTCGATATTCATCAAAATTTTTCAATTCAGTTGTATATAATCCCTATGTAAATAAATATAAACGGTAACTGCAGAGATAGACATATGAAATTTCAGCATTGTTACCGACCAAAACATGAGTACGTTCTGACATAAACTCTAATAAGCATTATGTACCGAATAATCCTTGTGACATCGCAAATGTCATTCCTTGTGCAAATCATTTATACGCGTTAATTTGTATATCATCCATTATTTGCGCAGATAATTCATGTTTACATAGAATTTTCATTTCAATCATGCGATGTATTCGTTCAGATCACACACTAAATGCGATATCCCGAAAAAAAAGACCGATCGTACGGATTTATTATATCATACATCGCTATATCGTTCGTGTGCTTTTGCACGGTGCATTTAATGTTTGCTCATCGAATCGCGTGTACCGAAATAATGTCACGTGAGTAGAATGTAATTCGTGCAGATAGGCAAAGACAGAGCATGTGAGAGTACAAACCTTTCGTTTGAACAAATATTGATTCTCGTCAGTGACAAATATTTGATGATAGGTGCGGCACTACCGAGTCTCACGTTAATTCTGAAAGGATCAGGCCGATGCGAGCGCGAACATGTAAATGACGTGCAAAACATTGTCACCGCACATCGCTTACATTTCTCAGTTTAATTAAACGTTTCATCGGACTGGTTACATTTATCTACGCGCAGAGCGGCAGTAATTGCCGCTGGTTGTTTGTAATGTCATCATAAGAAATATTGACTATCATTAACATCTGCGTGTAGGTGTAGAATAAGTTCAATCCCATTTTATACGCGGAATGTCCCGCGATATCGTCGAAGAAACACTTTCAGGACACATATTGCTTCCTGATGTATGCGGAAAAAAACGCGACCGACATGCTCCCTTATTGAATACTTCTTCTATGTGGCGAGAAAGGACAGCACCTGCAACCGTTTTCTTGAATATTGCAGATACCGCATTACTCCGGAACGTTACAGCGGACAGCTGGACGTAGACGACGACTACGATGTGGTATCGCCCACTTTCCGTCCACTCTCCACCAAAGCAACGGACCTTCGTATGGGGGTAGCGAGCTTTTGCAAGGCGTTTCCGTGGCACTTTGTCGTCGATCGTCAGCTGGAGCTAGTTCAGCTCGGTGTCGGTTTCATGAAGATTTTCGGCCATCACCTGAACCGGCTCGGCAGAGAGATATCGACATATTTCGTCTTTACACGACCTCACGGCGTCACTCTGACCTTTCACGAGATCCTAAAGCGCGCGAATACACCATTTATCCTGACTCTCCAGAGACCGCATGACGTCGATAAATATCCTGCGGAGGTATGCTTATAACGTGATTACTAACGCAGGATGATCAACTTACTTGCGAACTCAGAGTAGTTTGTAAAATACAACAACATGTAAATAAAAGTAAACTAGGCAAGGAAATTATTTCATTTCACGACACTTGCAAAGCAAAGCAAGTAGATTATTAATACTATTCAAACGCGCGTGATAAGATAAATTTATAAAAAGAATTCTATTTTGTTTTGTCTAGGGTCTGGAAATGAAGGGTCAGATGGTACACTGTCCAGAGTCAGATTCGATTTTATTTGTGAGCTCACCGTTCTTGAACGGTTTGGAGGGTTTAACGGGTCGAGGACTCTTTATTTCTGATATCCCTCTTCACGATGCTACAAGGGACGTTATACTCGTTGGCGAGCAAGCTAGAGCACAGGTGAGTAAATTCAGGGATCATTTGGTAAATCAAGTACTCGAGTTATTTAACGTAAAAATTTGAGTCACCTGTATTTTATATCATTAAAAATAAATACCTATTAATATATTACTATTTCGTTGGTATAAAATAATATATAACAATTCGTTACATTTAGTATAATTGGAACATATCTATCTATCTTATACTATCGTATCTTGATCAGCAGAAAATACAATAGCGTAATCTTCTTTCAGGATGGCTTAAGGAGACGTATGGATAAATTGAAGAGTTCTATAGAAGAAGCTAACCTGGCCGTCGATGCGGAAAGAGAAAAGAATGTCAGCCTTTTACATCTTATATTTCCGCCGGATATCGCAAAGCGTTTATGGCTGGGTAAATTATATCATTTATATTCAATCATAAGATGTAGCAATATTTTTCTTGCTTCTTTAAAATTCTTTCTCTAATCAGAATAAAATATAAAACAATATATAAAACAATATATAAAACAATATATAAAAATAAAAAAATTTATTATAAAAATTGCAATTATATATACTACTTAACTATCAATGCGATTTCTCATAAATATGACTTTGTCTAACAATATGATTTGAATATAATTAATAATTTAACAATTACTTTATAAAATAATCATGTATTAAATCCTAATGTCTGAATTATTTAGGAGAGACAATCGAGGCGAAAACGTATCCGGACGTTACGATGCTGTTTAGCGACATAGTCGGATTTACATCTATTTGCGCTACAGCAACACCGATGATGGTTATCAATATGCTTCAAAATCTGTATGAGCAATTTGATCTTTATTGTGGTCAATTGGACGTGTATAAGGTATGTTAATAATATTTTCATAAAGACTCAAGCAAAAATGAAAAATGTATTTAATATAATTATCAGTTTTTTTTATAAATTATAGCAAATAAAACTATATATTCTTCATCTTTTAAAGCTTTTAATTGAAAAAAATCGAAAGATAAATCGCATTTAAAAGTTATCTACGCGTTAAGTGATTGTTAGTTTATTATAACATATTTAAAAAATTTTTTTAAGCAATATATTTTCATTTGTCAATCGATAACTTATAAATACCGATCGTTTCGTTACAAGTTGCAGTTTACCTCGCTCGTGTAACTAAAATGTATGATGCTGCCATCTGTGAGTCATCAAAAGAACTGGATTTAGCTTACAAATAATTTCTTCTTTTTTATCATTATCGACTTTTTTTATTTCTCAACAATAACAAATAATTATATATGAATTAAATAAAGAGGCATATTGTTTTTTAGTATCAATTTATCGAAAAATTCTGATTATGTCAAACATAGTCTATAAACAACTATTACATGCGAGCATAAATGGAGACTGCTGATTGATTTTATTTTTCTTATATAAACAGGTAGAAACAATCGGCGATGCCTATTGCGTTGCATGCGGCCTTCATCGTAATACCAATACACATGCACAACAAATTGCTTGGATGGGCCTAAAGATGATACAAACGTGCTCTCATCACCTGACTCACGAAGGCAAGCCAATAAAGGTATTACATGGATGATTACATTACTATAGATAAGATTATACACTAAGCAATCTTCTTTCAGCACGATATCGTAATAATATAGCAATAAATGTAGATAGTTGCAGATTTATTGCAATTTATCGTATTAGAATTTATTTTACATTACATCGAATAGAAGAAACACATCGCGACAGAACACAAATACTAATATTTAACTAAGAAAATATATAACATTATATTTCACGTTCTAATAAATATATTATATAAAACAAATATAAACATTTAAATTTTTAAGAATATTTGTATACAAATGATATTTCTTGACATGCCAAAAATATTCAAATACATTTTTATAACATTCTCTAATTTCTTTTATGCATAGTATTTAGTTACATTAATAAATTTTCTTTCCCTGTGTTATACTTGAAAATAATAATCAGTAAAATCTATCTACTTTCAATTTTCGAATTGTAACTCTCATCGTTTCTCGAAAAATACCATATTTTTCTCAAAGTTTTTCAATTGAAAGATATTTCTGATTATTGCATATCCAACAGACAGTCTGTTGTTTATTATTCTCGCCTTGAATACTATTAAAACTTTTCCCATTTAAAGTATTTCTTAACTACGATAACAAGTGGCCGGTTCGAAAATACGAGAAAACACGAAACATCCCTCGTTGCATTAACATTTAAAGCAAGTTTAAAGTACATTTCTTTTTTCTCATTGATATTTTCCTGCAATTGTCATCTAACTTTTTTATACTTGCCAATACTGCGGCGTACGAAGCTCTTATCGATCACTAGATCATTCTGTCTACTGTTCTATCAGATGCGCATCGGCATTCACACTGGAATGGTGTTGGCGGGCGTCGTGGGCAAAAAGATGCCAAGATATTGTCTCTTCGGACACAACGTCACATTGGCGAATAAATTTGAATCTACGAGCGAGCCACTTCGTGTCAACGTCAGTCCATCTACGTACCTGTATGTGTTTCGACAAGATGTCTCATCTCATGTATATTTACAGCGCGAGTGTTACAAAAGTATATTCACAGGTGCTTAATACAAAAATCGGGATTCATATTGGAACCGCGGACCAAGGACAATCTACCTAAGGAAATGCCAGCCGGTGTATCGGGCACATGTTACTTTCTAAATGGGTATCAGCACAGCAGCGTCAGCGCGAGCGAATCTCTCGACGTGCATATTCAAGCTGCAATTACGGAATTCGGCATCAGTAGCAATATGTAGATACCTATCTTCTGATATGGGGACGTGTATCGCTGATCAGTGTGTTACTTTAACGATATTACTGTCGATAATAGCGATGGCACACCCGACACTATCGGATCGATCGATGTATATGAAGCTCTCAAAGCTGGCACTAAAGGTACATTAAAAGCATGGCGCTAATTATGTACGAACACACTAAAAGAGATCCTGTGCGGATATTATTTATACGCAGAGTCTTAGGTTGTAATCATTATATACCTACTAAATATAAGAAGCAAGTAAAACTCTACTATGGACTCTATACTTGTGTGTGTCATTTAAGAAATCCTATCCCGAACATATCCATACAGACAGATCGATTTCTTTGATTTCTATATTTAAATTGTGACAAATAATACCTTGTATGATTATCATTTCTATACATAGAGCATCCAAGACGGAAAATATAGATGTCTTTTCCAAGAAATTCTATGGAACACAATTCTACTTTACTCAACAATAATAAATCGCTATCAATAATAAACCGCTCTTTTGTATTACGAAAGTTGTTTTCCGCTGTTTCTTTAAAAAACAACATAAAGATTTCATAATCTCTTTCCACACTGTACTCACGAATGCAGCCACTGCATTTATTTTGTTTCACTTTTTATCTTAACAAGTAACTATTTTCCGATAAGATTTGGATCAAATTGGCACTTTACGCAGTTTATTTTTGTACATAAAGATGTACATTCGCTTCAGGATATCGAGATTAGATGAATATACCTTCATTTCTTTCCTTCAGATAATAAATAAAATCGATAATGCAGCCAGTCCCTCTAACGAGAGATAATGCGAAGTTCTACGTAATTCAACGCATTATGCTGCCTTACTAATGACCGATGTGCACATTTTCATATAAGAAAGCAGCGAAATTTACGAGGCGTGATTTATGGAACCGCTAATACTTTAACTTTCTGCGGAAGCATTTTCTCCCGAAGAAAACTTCCGGCCGTTGTATCGTAGCGGCTTTTAAGATAATAACGTCGGTTTGTGGATCATGGTAATAACTAATTGTGCCGTTCTCGCGGCGAGACGCAGCGGCAGTTCGCTTATTGAAAAGCGCGGCCTCTTTCCGCTTTAACGTAACCGTGCGCGCATCGTTTTACCAAGAGGTACAAAAGGGAGGTGGCGTGTATTGTAAAACTGAAAGCTAAGAGGTGGTTTTACAAAGCCACCACTGTCACTAACGGCTTCTTCGTTCGCTCACGCACGTGTCCTTACGTGTATGTGCATGGATGTGTCTATGTACGTGTCTGAGTGTACTTGCGCACAGCCACACCGAAGCAATCTGCTCGTATATATCCTTAATGTTTCTTATAGTGGCATTTATGCAGAGGTGAAGAAATTAAACATCGCCCCTTCCGGCTATGTCGTGTAATCAAACGCTCGGCACAGAGCGTAGTAATCGGTAAAGGGTCTTAGAATGAGACTGTGACATGGTATGGATATTAAAGTATATGAAAAGAATGAAAAGAAAAATTAGAACAGCTAGCCGGAATAATGATGAAAATGACACAAAAACTGACAGTTAAAGTTTATACATTCTTGCAATTTACTAAAAACGCTCATTATAAGTAAGTAACTGATTGGTAATTAAAAAATTAAGAAATATTTTCAAAATATAAAATAAGTAGGAAAAAGGTAGAAAAAAATCTATTAAATATAAACGTTGTAAGAAAAATCTATTTGGATTGTATTAAAAAGGAATAATATTGATAAAACATAACAAGAGATTTCTTTCTCATTGCAAATTTTCCCAAATGCCTTTCCTAATTTCCTAAAATGTTGAATAATATAATACAACAAACGACAAATTTATTTTTATAATTGTGTAAATAGAATAAAATGAATAGAATCTACTTTATCGATTAAAATTTAAAAACTTAATTCTTCAACGATTTTATTGATAAATAAAAATAATTATTTTGTATAATTATATTAATAATAAAATTTACAATTAAATAAAATTTATTTATTTCATTTTTCTCTTTTTGTTTCATTATATTTAGATTGTATGGTTATAATAATAATAATAATACATTAAAAGAAAAGTCATCCAGTATTAATCTAAAAAAATTCCTATAAAGCATATCATATTTTTAATCGCTCATCATATTTTTAAATATTAAAGAATTTAAGTCAAGAAGTCTTATTATTTTTAGAAGTCTAGTCTAATTGAATTGGTTTGACAACGTTTCTTTGTCAAAAAATACGATGCTTATTAAAGCAATTTAATTAAACTACAAAATTTCATTAAATAGTGGAATTTACATCGCATTTAGAAAGTACTCTGTTAGGAAAACGTTGTATTTGCACAGAATTTAAATATATCCAAGTTAAGTTTTTATTTAGAAATGTATTTAAAACACTACTTTTTAATATTACAATGTTTATTAAAGTCCTTAAATATAACTGCAAACCTCTTCAACGAGTTTACATAAATTTCATTATTAATTTTAAGATATTGCATCTTACGAATTTAAGAAATCAAGACGTGATAAATGGAGTTATGTATTTCTCCGAATCATTTATTAATATATATTAAAACGTAACGATTTTATAGATAAAATATAATAACACGTTTAAATCGAGTAAATATTTTAATAAGATATGCGCATCGTTAAGCATCCTCACGGTAGATATTTCGAGTGCCTCGAGTTTAATACGCGTGACATAATCCACATTCTTCGCTTAATTACATTCTCTTAATAGTTCCGAACAGTGTGAAGTAACTGGAACATTAGCTCTATAAGTTTAAGAAACCACTATATCGGAATTCACATTATTTCAAATAGCACTGTCACTTTTTTTTAGAATATTTAAAAATATTTTGCATTAATTGGATCTCTTACATTATATTATTCACATAACATCATTACCGCTCACATATATATTTATCACATTATCGAATTATGTCACTAATATATTTCTACATTTAGTTGTTTTTAATATTTGATTTAGAGAATGATGATTTTCTCTAAGAATAATAAAAATGCTCCAACTTGGCACGCCTTCATCTTATGAGCATTACAGCCACTTTTCACACAGAGGGACAACTATGAGACAAGTCTGAAAAATAGCTCCTTTTGCTACAAAGGTTTCATTACAGGAGACCTCATTATTTACTTTCCTATCTGTCTCACGTCTTCACCATATTGTGTTGAATCATTTTTAACGAAGAGGCGGTAATTGGTTAATTAATCTTAATTGACGTAAATGGAACAGTATTAAATCGATGTTATCTATTAATAATATGTTCTTTTGAGTATTATTAATTTTATAATAATGTTAATAGAGAAATACATTATTGAATACTATATATATATTCTCTATTTTATTTATGTATAATGTTCAATTAATAAATAATCTTTTCAGAGAATAATTAAGTTTGCGCTTTTCGTTTCAATGAAACTGATTTCAGCTTCCTGTATATTCTAAATGATATAACATGTACACGTTCCGAAGACTATTGTGAATTGCGATATGCTTTCTCTCTGTCATATTTCTACTAATACAAATTTATTATTAATTCACTCACAGAATACGAATATCTGCATATTCTTTAAGCTACAGCGTCCAGCTGTCTCAGTTTGATTAAATTACAAATGCATATCCATTTACTTGACTATTGAAACAAGAACTAAATACTAAGTACACGCTGTCATGTAACCGCATGCATATTAATCCTTGTTTTTATCGTGTTTAAAAAAATCAGCTGAAGGAACAAACACAGTCTGTCGCAGTATGGCGTTCATCTGTAATAAAACAAACTTTCGTAACATAAATCGTAAAAGTAGTAAATGTCAAAATTGTACAAGCTATTGTGTTTGAGTAACAGTCAGCGATATCTTTGGATTGAAAATATGATTTATAAGCAGAGAAATCCCTTGATAAAATTATGAAACATTGTGGTTCATTTGTACAGAAAGTATTGTATGATAAAAATTTACCAAGTTAGTATAATGTATAAATAATCTTGATTTCTCATTTATAAGAATTGTCAATTACGTGATATTGAAATGGAGAGCTTTCCGGCTTTCCATGTATGTAGAATAAAAAATGTAAGATAATGCAGATATGTAAAATGTAAGATATTGCAGCTTTATTTCCGTATCAGTTTTCATACAGAATTTACAATTCAAAGTTCATTGGACTCGTTTCGATATTTTTTAAGACTAAGCATAATAAAGTGAACGTTTAATAAATGTTTTATGTAATACGAAATATCCGATAAAGCAGATTTTGCAAATCTCATATTTAACTTGGTTTCATTCATCTATATTGTTAAATGCAATAATATCTAATCCGCAATATTTAAAATAATGCGATTTATAATAATTAAATCAACGCCTACGGCGTAAATTTAATACGTTTATTGATTTATCATATGTTCATCGCTGTACATTATCTTCTTTTAATATCAATTCGATTGTTATATAATAAATAAATAATATATAATCATTTTTCGTAATTTAATCTATATGTACACGTGTGTGTGTGTGTGTGTGTGTGTGTGTGTGTGTGTGTGTGTTGTTGTGTGTGTGTGTTGTTAAATAA